CTAAAGGAATACGCGACTCCCGTGGAGTAATACGACACCCTCATTGGGAAATAATTTTATCGACGATTCTTTGGTTTCGATTGTACGGAAGAGAAACTGAAAGCTTCTTCGTTCGACTTCGCTATTTTTCTTTGAAAAAAAAATAAATAAAAAACTACTTATAACATATTAAATAAGGTGAAATTAAGTTAATATACTTTCATTCAAGCCTTTTTCCGTGATAACTCATTAAGTAACTATTTTCTAAACTTTTGGAGAGCATGAAAGTTTCATTCAAAATGAAATGAGGATAATTACAACTCAAAAGACAGGTCATACCAAAAAGGAAATGTAATTTTCAAGTCTAGCTCTATGTATACTCTGGTTTAGGTGAATTTATTTAAGCAATTTATCACGCAGAGATGCACTTTAAGTGCTTTTCACTGCGCGTTAAAATAAAAATGATCAGGAGAGATAAATGCAACGCTAACTTACAAAAACTAGGTGGTCTAAAAAATAAATCAGCCTAAAAATATCGGACGTGTGCAAAAGTAATTTTCCCTGAAAATGTTTTTTATTGATGAAAATAATCCGAAGACATTCATCTTCCTCTGTTTCCTGAACTAGCAATTTATTCGAGTATTGACTTTTGATCCCAATTTTACACTCCAAAATATTTTTTACCCCGTGTCGTTTGAATATTCAATTTAATAAATAGACAGATCATTTCTCATACATATCAGGAATGAATTTTTCAAATAAATAATAATACTTTTTTTTAACGTGGATTTCTTAATTCAATATAATTTTTTCAATATATTTCTTACTTTCTCTTTGTAATGAAATATCATTGTTACGTTGAGTTGAATACCATTTTAAAAGGAAACGTTTCTTTGTCAATGATTTTACTGTTCGTATCCTCGCAAATACCGTTAATAATTAAACAGTAATAAAAATATTGAATTGTCTGTACAGTACTATTCCGATACATACGTTCACTTTTTGCTTTTATTGTATTACTAATTTTTCATGAAACACTTTTGGAAGTTGGTGTGTTACAGCTCCCGGAAAAAAAAAGTCATCCCTATATGAAATTCAAAACAACGCCAGACTATAACAGCACATATAGCTTTTTTCGCCATCCTATATACACAAAGTTGCGTATGTTTTGTTTTAATTAATACACACTAAGGCCAATATATATACATCTACGGAAGAGAAGGTAGAAGCCACGAAGTGAACGAGGATATAACGCATTCATTCCCTCAGGGCATTACAGGTCCATTTTTCAATTAAGCAGTGCACTACGCCACCGCCAGCATACTAGTTTTCTAACTTGACGTTAAAGTGACGCGTAACGACATTAATATTCAATCTCTGCCCAATCGCGGAGAGAGGCGATTTCGCGCACGAAGAAATTCATTAAAGTCGCTGCCGTTGCTTTGTGTGAGGAGAAAGAAAAAGGGATTTAGAAACTGCTTTCGAGTTTCGTTTATTCATTGTACCCCGGCTTCTATTTTTTTTTTGTTTTTTGTAAGTTTACTTGCGCTTCACAACGCTCGGGGGAAGCTTTGTTGAGTTTTAATTTATTTTGAAGACTGCAGGCTGTCGCGAAAGAGACCCCCGTTCATTTTTTTTTCTTTGTCGTGTGCAAAGTTTACGAGCTTAAGAATGTTTGTTTAATTATCCTTGGGAGTTTTAATTTTCAAGTTAGTCGGCTAGATAAACTGACGGGCCTGAAAAACTGATAGCTTCGAAAAGAAATGATTCAACGATCTTTTCAAAAATATTAGCTTCACCATCCTCGTCCACTACCATTCTCTCATAAATACATTGCGTAATTTTCAAAATGCCGTTGTTTTATGTCTTTTCAATTAGAGCATTGAAATGACATATAGGCGCGTGCAGTATAATGAGCAATGATAAACAGCACACGGAGACGTTAATTATTAGCAAATGATTTTCCGACACGCTGCGTGCGTGAATAATATACCAAAGAACGCGAGAGAGAACATTGGATCCCGACCTAAAGTGAATACGTAATTCGGCAGCGAAACGTATATCGCTTTTTCGAGCTCATGCAGGTCAATGGAATTTTCATTAAAGCGCGCGTTGGAGAGTGAGCAAGAGTGCAACGGATTTTTGTAATGAAACGAGAGCCAATATAGAGCTTTTTAATTCACACTGATATCAATTCAATTAATATTTCTCTCGGTAATGAAACGTCGCCGCTTCTCTCATTTGACGATTTTCCAAAAAGGCGTAATTTTGAAAGAAAATTAGAGAGTCGATATTCAATAGCGCTGAAATGATTGCTTTGGTAATTGATTATTGTACAATTATCTCTGAATACATTCTGATCGATGCTGTATTGTGTAATGAAGCTATAGCTAGATTGCAGAACAACTGAGATAAATGATTTGACTAGTTCTAACTCAACTAATGTTTTGATAAGCAATAAAAGACAAGTATTTTTTCATCTACATTATCGCTGATACAATGAAACAATAACTAGACAATTGAACATTAATTGTAAATAATGAAAACATGATGTATAGTGTTTTTGAGATCTTTTATTCTTCGGGTTTTTATAACATACAAAAGGTCACGCAATGCGAAGTGTATGCGATCGAATAACATTAAACGCACAAATTAACTATTTTTTATACTTTATTATACAATATACTCTCATGTATGAGCGCAATTTTATGATAGCAACAAATATGAAATGGAAAAACTGAGCATAATTTGGTATTATTGTACAAATTAAACTTGTACGTATTACTGTGATAATCACTCACGCCATCAAATTTTATCTTTTAAAAAATCACGCAATAATTTTGTACGAATACTACAACAAATTGCCATACACACGCTCCTAGACGAGAAGTTAATAAAGCTTTTTTTTCTTTTAACATTTACAAAACTAAAAGTGTGTTGATTATGGCTTCTAAGGCTACGATACAGAATATCTAAAGAAAATGAATGATTTTGAATTTTTAATAAATTAATATTTTTCTAGTAATATTTTAATAGGTTACATATTTTAATAAATTCAATGGAGTAGCGTGTAATTTCACTATTTTGTAACATCTACAAACCATATGATTGCAAACGTTTGTGCGCTTCCCGAGTATGGATAGAACTCGAATCTTCAAAAAAAATTCGACAATCATCCTCTTCCAAATGTACCCTTATTCAAAAGTTTGTATTTAACGGAAGCGCCCTTAAAGTTAGACTCATTTTGTTTGAATAATTCCAGTGTACTTTCTTAAGAAGGCTTGTAAGCGCTACTCCAATATTATATCCATTAGGGCTCTCTGATATTATTTACAACATATTTTATAATATTTTGTTATAACAGAATTTGTGTGATTAAAAAAATTGGTTATTCATCCAGTCGATCGCATTAATTTTTCTTCAATGATATCCACGCAAGTTTTGAAAATGATACAAATTTAGTGAGTATTGAGAAGGATAAAAAACGGTTTAACTTTAAGCGCACTCGAAAACTACGTATCCTGTATTTTTCAGTGAGCAAAGACTTATTCGAAGAACTTAAACGTAGAACATTACAAATTTGTAACTAGAGAGGTATTATTTGCTTCATTGTACACTGCTTTTTTTTATTTTTACACATCTAGACATTTCATTTACGCTATCGGAGTTTCCACGCGATCCCTCACTGTTTCATCAGAAAAAAATTCACTGTTGTATTATACAAATACGAGGTAATTCGTAACTTTAGAGAAATTGCGAAAATGAAACATGTAGGATTGGACAGTCGCAGAATCATCAACATATACAACACAGTATTACGAATAAAAGTTTGATATTTTTATTCAAGTAATAAATAAATTACTGGCAAAGAAGCAGTTAAAACACTTTTAGTTTACATCAACATGCCTTTAATTAATATAATGAACAAATACAAAATCCTGCTGGAATTTTTTACAGACTTTTTTCTTTACAATTGAAATAAAACTATTTGTACAATAGTAACGAATGAAATGTATGTAGAAATATACATGTCGGTACAAAAAAATTTCTTTCGAAACGAATATGTAATAGATTTTAAAGTAAAATAATTTCGGTATTCGTGTGTAGCATTAAACATCGTAATAATTGCCATTTTCATTTTTTATGTCCCCTACTTACTTATCGTTAAGAGATAAACTTGAAGATTATACGCTACAACGGTACATTATACGTATTTACAATTCTGACGTGAAAAAACGCGAATATTTGTGGGCCCTATTTTTAAAACTTCCTTAATATGGTAATTACTTCTTCTACTATGCACTTTTTCCGTATTTAGTTAAAGATAGCTATTAACTAGTTTATCTGTTTTAGTGATACTCCGGATATGTACAAACTTTATTTCAAAACTGTAAAAAGTTTAAGAGCACAAAATGTAAGGAGAAAAAGAGATCAACGCTATTTGAAATTAGAATAAAAATAACTGTAGGAGCGTAACGTTTTAAAGGCTATGGTAAAACGATTTTATTGCACAGTGCAAAGTCTCATTGATTATCTACCTTCATTTTAAATATAAGATCCGTACAGCAAATATATCTTAAAACTTAATATTTATAATTGTGAACGTCCCCAATGTTTTTCTTTATTATACGATTGTAAAAAAAATCATGAATGTAAAAAACATTTGTTTGGAAAGTAATTCACTAATGTACGTTCGAAAATAGAATGAAATAAAAATCCAACGAGTATGTATTCTAATCCAGTTAATAAATACAATTAAATCTATTACATCTAAGAAAACTATCTATTTGTTTGTTTAATGTGTGACAAAATGAAAATAAAGAAAACCATCCGACCATGCCTTTACAAAGCTCCTACCAATGAGGCATATAAGCCTCATTCAAGCATATAATCAAGTAGCAAATATTGAATTGTTCACAACTCGAAGCACCTGTGTCAGTGCAAAATGGCTAAATAAAAATTTAACTATAACTTATTGGCTTATTTGTATCCATTTGCACTCTAACTATTAAAAAGGACAATTTATACGTTGAGACAATTTTTTTATTTTACACTTCAGTGTTACTTCTTTTTTGGTTAATTTCGGCAATCCGACAATTATAAGATAAAAAAAGTCATTTTGTTAACAATGCTTGTTTTGGCGAGGAGAAAAGCAGGACATAAACTAACAAAAAAGATATCCTCGTAAATTAAAGTAAATAAAACGATAAACAATAGCAGGTTAAAATTAACAAAATCTCAATCTTGTATTACAAATGAACACTAGCTTCCCCGAATAAAAAAGAAAACAAAAAAAAAGAAAGGTACAGAGAAAGATAATGTGTGCGCAATAACACATATTATCTTACATCACCGAAAATTCGGAACCTTTAATATATTGATCTGTTATGTTATGCTGCGTGAAATAATTATTGTCTCGTTGTGATGTCAAATTTTGTTTCGTTTTCATTTTACCGGAGTTCTCGAAATCAAATGTACGCTCGATATAGTATCTTAAAATTTTCGCATACCTAATTCCATTGCGTTGCACATAGAAAGGTAACTGCGATTCCGACCCACAAGTTTTATCACAAAATAATTTCTACGAATTTCATCGACATTTTACTTGCTTTTGCTTAGTAATTATTCTAAAAGATTCTCTCACTCGCAATCATTCGTTAATTATCATTATTATTAATTACTATTATTAATATTATTATTATTGTAGTTATTATTATTGTTGTAATTAGTTAATACATCTATAACAAGTTGAATTAAAAAAATTTTGTTAGTGCTATTTTTTTCATATAAAAATATTTAGCTCTTTTTTGACATCCTCGAGTTTGTTTTTTTTTTTTTGGTAAACTTATGAATCGGAATCGCATCAGATTAATTTATTGTTTATGTATATCGAATTTATACTTTACACATTACGAAAAAAATAACAAGTTATCACTTAAGGTTTGCATTTTGCCTATCTCCATTATAACTGACTTTCTACTCAACAATATTGCCAATGTTGATTTTTGTTTTTTAAGTAACAAAAAGAAAAATTGATTACCGCTTACTTCGGTCACAGACATAGCCAACTTCAGTACATCATACAAAAAGACTTATCTTATTCTTTATTATCTTTAATGAGTCGTGAATGTGTGTGTATTGTTTTGCACATATCAAAAAAAGATTGACTGGTTTCATGTTTACTAAACGTTTACATAATTCAACACAAGCGCTAAAGAAAAATTTTAGGTCTTAGAAACCCGTATCAGAGAATAAAAAAATACAACTAAAACTTTTCGTCACTCGACGATATATTTTATGATTTGAATCACGTACACACCATGAGTGACGAATTTCATTGAATAAAATTGCAGCAAGAGCTCTTTCGTACGAATTTAAAATTCGCGCAACGGCTCCAGATGTGATGCCTAAAATTTTCAAAGCACAAGTGTCAAACGTCGTCGAAAGAACTAAAATAAAAACATCAGTAACCGATCAAGACACAAACAACAACCATGGCATATCTATGACACTTAGAACTCGAACTTTACACAATACGCATGTGCTCCTTATAATAATAATCAGCTTGCCTTAAATACTCATAATCCTTACAAGTTAGATATTTTTTTGTAATTTTTTTACTTGAACGCTCTCTCACTACGACTGTCAAAAGTTGTTCTCAATCTGCTCGACTATTATAACGGACAGTACCAAACGTCGATTCGACGTTCACCTCGTCCCAAGTCAAGCATTTACTTTTACGCCATGTATCTCTCGTTCAAATTGTTTTATAATTTTTTTACGGGATTTACGCAGCATGTTTAAATTTTTTTGGCGCTCTTTGCACTGCTGTTACTGCTCAGAGCTTTTACGAAACATTGTATTCAAATCATTTCGGCGGTCACTTTTTTCTCTTTTTTTATGACATTTGTTGTATGTTTGATTTAAGATGTGCAACCACCTTGATTTTACCAGGGTCACGCGCTTGTAGTGTAAAGGGTGACACTAGCGATGTGATGATTAGCCATCACCTCGACTATGGCGTCACGGATACCGTAGCAGAAGGTGCAGCCGAACGGATTGGTCGTGTTTGTCGAGCTTGCACGGTTTAGAACCACTGGACGCGATGATGCCTTTAACTGCTCGCTCACTCGATCCCACTTTGTATAGGCAGTTATCTGTATTTATTGTGATTTTTTAATTTGGGATGCTTTATTATTATTATTGAAGAATTATCCTGATATGGTTTGATAAAAATTATTTTGTGTCAATTTTAAGTAATATAAGAAAATTAAGTTTTCAAAGAAGTATATAGATTTAATATTTTGAATAAACAATAAAAACTGCATGTCTATTTCAAATTATAACTGTGTAAAATCATTTTGAAGATTGTACATTTTATGACATCAATTTCAAATTTAGTTTACTAGCGTGAAACTATATGCATAGAATAATAATTTATAACTGTAAAAAGAAATTAAAAAAATTCGTGAATAAATAAAAATTATTGTTTATAAATAAATAAGAATTTTTAACTATAAAATATTTTTCGACACTCCGTGCGCAAAGTGCGTCTTTCCCGCACGCTCGGCAGAAAACGTGCGTTGAAAATCGCACTTTCCACACGTCGTATCAAAAAATACGGTACGGCACATGTTCGGGAAAGAGTTTCTCGTCTCGTGTATCTTTCCACCCTCGCTTCGCTCGGGCGTAAACGCCACACGAGACAAGAATCTACTTTCCCGCACTTATATCGTAATGTACTATTTTAGTCATTTAATTAACACAATATTAAGCGGAAAAAATCGAGTAAAAAAATATATTTAAAACGAACTTAATGAAACTAAATTTGATAAATGTAAAATAATATTACTTACAGTCACTTGAGCTGGAGAAACATCTATGAGATTTCCAGAATCTGTTTTGAAATTTTCTGCAGGTAAAGTAAGTGCGAATTCACATCTATGATACATATTGAAATTATAGTGTCCAGGATAATTGGTATGCAGTACAAATTTCTTCACACACTGTGTTCTTGCATCAAACAAAATATCCTATGTACACAGAAAATCATTGTAAACATATGATATAAGAATTTTCGTATACCATAAGTGGTAAAACAATTAATTAGCATTTTCACTCACCAAACCAAGAGTAAAGTAATTGTAGAAGAAATCCGACCGTCTAATTTTGTCCCTTTTATGAGCATGTGGACTATGAATTCGCATCTTATCTTCAGCTTTAAAAAATACTCGAGAAGGTGCCCCAAGAGCACTTAAAACATCTTCGCAGGTATCACCAAACCACACCTATAGAAAGAAATAAATTATTACTTATTATTAATCATTAATTAAATGAGTGAACTATTTTCCAAATTATATCATTCAGTTTACTGGATATAAATAAAAATAACAGTGATAAAAGTATCTTTTTAGATAAACATACAGCTTAGGAATCTGTTTGAAAACATACACATGATTAATATTCCAGACTGTTTTTTTCTATTTGTTCGATTAGCTACATTTCATTTTCGATATCAAGCAAGAAAATGAATGTAAGAAGTCACAAGAATAGATGTTTCATAAAAAAATTAGCTCTTTAATGATTTATTACATTTCAGTGGCAATAATGATTATCTGTAACTGTGTAATAATTGAAATCAAAGAATTTATTAATCAACTCTAGTTCACATAGTCATAAAAATTATTTTAATTAAAATTTAAACTGATAATAAAATTTAAGGAAAAACATTTATCAATATTTACCTCTTTTGTTAAATTGTGTCTTTTAGGTTCAAGAACTAATCGACTTCCTGAACTACCTTCCATAAATAGATGCATTCTGATTCCTGTAGTCCTAGATTTATCTCTTATCACTTCAGCATTTTCCAAATAGAGATTGTTATGATAACAGACCTATCAAACATAGACACTTAGTAATACTTCAATAAAATTGAAACACTAATAATTTAGAACACTTACCAAAGGCAGAGGTGGTGGTGGATCTTTTAGACAGCGTTCCTCACCATTTGAACCACCTCCAGGTGTCATATTTCCCATGTAAATAGCTGTTTTGACCACAAGTGGTGAAGATCCATTTTTGAATTGTAACGAACCCAAGCCATGAGCATATCGTGGTTGAAATTCAGAGTCGATTGCGAAATAGAAAGCTAATCCTCTAAAGTTTAACACAAAAACCTAAAATAGAAATTGATAAAATTAAGAATGTAATAAAATTTATCAAAAATATTTGCCAGTTCATTGACAGATAACATTAATTTAATCAAAGCAAGCAAATGTATACAACTCACATGTTTATCACTATCATAAACACCTGGGTGAGTTGCTCCAAATGAATGCTCAATCTGTTCGATAGATGGCAAGACCTCTGGAGAATTAAATGGCAACCCACAGTATTTAAGTTTAACTAGCTTCATGTTATATATTTCAATAATCTTAAGCCTTTGTACAACTGGATCAAATATGAGCCGAACCCCATCGTGAGGTAAATTAATAACTAGATCTACTTCTAATGGATTCTGAAAGGAGAATAAATATACAATTACTTCATGTCCAGTAATATTTCAGTTTGACAATGTGTAAAATGAAGAAAATGATTTTCTTTACAACTTAAAAGAATTTACATTTTATTAGCAATACTTTTAGAGCTCAAAAACATTCTGCAAATGTTCTTGAACATTATTATATGAAAGAAATTCCTTTACACATAAGAACATTCAACACTTTTCACTTAGACATGACAGAATATTCATTTGTTAAAGCTTTGTTAACAGGTGTTGATGTATTTTATTTTGGAAGACTTATTTACACATACACAGTGCTCACTTTAAAATTAAGATGATTATATTCATGTGAAATTCAATACATACCGTATCACTATATAGTACTTGTACTCCTCTGATAATGCCCACTTGCGACTGTATTATTGATACAGACTGGGAAAAATGCATGCCTGTAGAACAAAAACAAACAAAAAATATCTTTTATTAAAATATTTTGCTTGCTGTTGTATCAATAAGTAAAAATCGTACGTTCGATCTATATATTGTTGCCCAATCGACCAAACGTGAATGTGTTATCTTAAATACCACGAGTGATATCGACAAAATTGCGGAAAATGCATGTATACATGTTTTACCCCATCAGCTGAGACGTATACGTGCATGCGTGTACTAGACGGTGAGAATATGGTGGTACGAAGAGGGTCAAGGAACAGTTAGGTAAACTGCGTCGAAACCATAACAAAGATACACACAATTCTTGCATACATGAAAAAGAGAGAGAGAGAGAGACAGAGAGAGAGGGAGTGAGAGAGAGAAAGCGCAGTGTCAAGGCGTATACAATTGCATCAGCATACATCCTGATGTCATCTACTCGAAAACGCCCGAATCAATTAACCCCTCCAAAAATTACATAAGACAAAAAAAGAAGACTCTCATAGCGTCTTCTTCACGCGCGACAGTGGTTTGTTTACATGCGCGCATTGTCAAAATAGAGAGGGACACTCAGCGATAAGAGTGTATAGAAGTTGCTAAAGCGGTGAACGACAGGCACATACTTCGTTGTCACGCCTTTATACTTCTCACTTACCTAAAATGAACTCCCAGTGGTCGCAGCCGAGTGATCTCTCGGGTACGACCTCGAGTTCCAACATCCTGGCCTTGATGATTCTTGTTGCTGTTGTTCAGCAAAGGTTTTCAACGACGCACGTACACAAACACGCAGACGCGCACTACACTCTGCGTCGTTATTTTTTCTTATAGCGACAGAAGACACGACATCGAAGAAGTTGTGCTGCGTGCGAAAGAGAGTTGTAACTGCGTTGTTTGTTTGTAAGCTACTGACGCTCGGGGACTGCCTCGCTTCGCCAGTTCTCTGGCGCGTTGTTAAACTCGCTCTCTTTGTCTGGCAGCGCTGCTATCTCCCTCTCTCGCACGTACACTGCGTCGCACTTTTCGACACTATATACTAGGCAGCGGCCATGTCAACTGTTCGCTGGAAAAGCGAAAGCGTGAGAGGGAGAGAGGAAAATAGAGATAGAGAGATTCTCAAGTCCAACACTACCACACACCGATTCAACTTCTGCGCTCTGCCTCTGCGTTTACTGAGGCTCGCCTTTGTAAGCTGCGCAGCTGGACTGCTTTCGCCGCAAACAGCTGATGAGCCAACCAATCTCTCCCCACTCGTCCCTCCTAAACTATGTATGTATATCTAAACCACCAACGCACAACTCAGCTGTCGCTCTGCAGCAGTTGGGCACGTCGAAACGGTCAGGGCCGTCAATGTCGCGCTAGGCCCTTGACTCTTCAAACCTCTGATTAGGAAGCGATCGACCTTTTTCATATTTTTCACTTTAATTCTATTTTGTATGGGAAACGAATGTTTTACTTTTACGACTGCGCGGAATAGAGTCGAGGCCTACTTGTATGTGCACTTTTTTTATCTAAAACGAGTAAGAGAACGACGTTTAGTCACCGATGATTGCCGACAATATGCGCGAGAGAGGTACTTTTTTTTTCTTGAAGATTGTATTTTGCTGATGTCAGCAAACAAGTTTGCTTGAAATTCTATATCCAGAACATTCAAGATAAGTGAATGATTTAAAGTACTTGAAATGTCGTTGCAAACTTGTATAACTACAGTATTTATTGGACGTTTGTTATTTTTTGTTATTTTAACAAATAAATAAATGTTTTAAGAATAGCCATTTAAAATTGGCCGTGTAAAACCGCCGAGGATAGTGTTCGTGGTACATGTACAAACGAGTAAAAGAAAAACAAGTTTTCGGGGTGAAAAACTTAAGATACGCGAGATGGATATTTTTAAAACGTGTATTATGTAAATGGCATTTGTTCAAGTATTTCAGTGTTACCTAGTAAAATTCCTCACAGCGAAAGATTTGTTGAAATAACTATAAATAAAATTTTATGTGTATGACACGATCGATACATAACAACAACATTGTTACTCTAATCAGATAAAGTAGATTTCTGTAGAGCTTTTATTGAAGCTTGCTCAGCTTACCAAATTTAATTGTAGGCGGCAGCAGCAATCGTGATTATTTAGAAATTGTTCGAGAAAATCAACCAACTCGAATCAAATTTATACAAGAATTATGTTTTTTATATTACTCAACCAGGGAACCATCCGAGCTCTAATATTGATATTTTATAGTTTTTTTAAATCTCTGTGTCAAATTTGTCCTAATACAGATATCGTCACAAAACTTATCTATTCTTAAAGAACTTTCTATATAAACTACAATTTTCCTTGTTGCCCAATGAAGTCACAGTTGTATAACATTTCATTTTTTATTTAAAAAAAAAAATTAGCTTACCACACTTTTCTGAATGTTAGTGTACGATAATCACTGTGGAAGAGTTTATTTTCTTTATTGGCATCTGTGTTCGAGATTGAATCAGAGCCCTTTTTCAGAAAACTATTTCTTGGTTTTTTTAAGCACGGAAAACTAAATTTTTTCAAAAAATAAAATGTTATGCAAACAGTGACTTCGTGGGATCTGTGATTGAAATTTTTGTACTTATTGTACTTATATAGAGGAAAATTGTAGCTTATTAGGAGTAGACTATCTCCTTACTGTTAGACCTCGGCTGGTCTCCTTAATCATCGATGTTTTCAAGATAAACAAGTCTTGACTGTCAAGATACTAAAAGATTTATAAATAAAATACTACTTAACTTTTTTCATTCTGGTTTATTAATTCAGCCATTTTAAGCTTACGAGAATTCATTTGCAGAACCGAGAGTGAAATATTTTTACCCGGAACGTGCAGTTTCAACAAGCGAAGAAAATTGAAGCTTAAAAATTGAAACAAAAATCACTCTAATTGCTGTTTTATTTTGTAATAAAATCCAATTATCCCTTTAGCCACAGACAAGTGAAAGTTCATTTGTTCTTCAGCGTGTTTTTCTCAAATGTCTGCCTATTTATAAATAAAGTGCAAATAAACCTCTCGTAAATTATTTATTTTGCAAAAATATTGAGCAAGAAATGGGAAAAGAAATTCCGTGAACAAACCCGACGCGACCTATTCGAAAAATGCCTGCAGCAATAATGTGCCAAATCGGACGACACCGAAGCGCGCCGCAAACATAGTGACGTAGAATCGTCTCGCGCCGAGAGAATTGACTCTCTCGAGTGACGTATGCCGGGGGCCCGACCGCCACGCCGACAGATAGCTCGAGGCTTTTATGTGTCGGCTTTACTTGCTCTTTCCTTTGCGTGCATTAGAAATATTATGTTTCCAATCGCTGCTGGCTCAGGTAATTTTGGACCTCTTTTCCCGATTTTTCTTCTCTCTTGTAAATTACAAAATTCTTTCTCCAGTGAATACAAAAAGCACGATACTTCCTCGAGATAATATTGAAAATAATTTTTTTTAAATCTTAGATTTTGCTTATGACATAGTGAACTAATTCAAAATGTCTTATGTTTATCATTTTTTATCACACAAAACCGAATATCTAATAGTAAAATCTCTATGTATATTTGCGATTTCTGAGAATAACACAATCGAGTTTGCTTTGTTTGTATATCTGCAAACTTTATGCGAAATATATATGGTTTAAAAATGCTTAATTTCTTCCAAGAATACAAGTTCTTTGAGTGTCAAGTAGTCGATAAGACCACTTAATTACCATATAATCTTGTCTCTCCGCCTTTAGGTTTCTTTGGTTTAAAAGTTCTATGTTGTCAAGGCAAATACTACATTATTTTAGCACATTTTTTATAACTAAAAAAAAACTTATCCTTGATATAAATAGTTCTTCCTTGTTAAACAGAAAGATTGAATCTACTAATTCAGTAATCATAGAATTATCTACTTATATTTTAACATCAATCTTTGAATATTACAAGAACTCAAAATAAATCAACTACGGCGATAACGAAACGAAAGTGAAGCCTTGACAAAGAAAAATTTCGTTTCTCTTTCACTCTTAATTTGATACAATTTGTAATGATGCAATTCACCTTCTAAATTTCTACTTTCAACGTTTAAGCTATCTCGCAAATTGAACCGATATTTTCATCATACCACCGTTACACAAGTAAATCAGAATTTCAATATACGAGGACAAATCTTCGTTAATATCACTGACTCACTTATATTTATAAATCGTTATGCATTTCAAAATGTATATCAGATATATAATTGAACTATACGAAGGTATCACTTAAAACCAGTTTCTCTAACATTGATCTCAATGGAACGAAGCACCTAACAAAAAAATGGCACAAATCTGGTTTACTTTCAAAAACTTTTTTAAACTATCGACGTCTAAAAATTGTCCTCGAACTGATACTTCTCTTATCAGATAGCAAAGACAGCTTGCATCATACATCAATTTTATTCGAAACCCCCGCGATGCATTGACCGGTTGATTATTACAAAACGCTGTTATCACGGCTTGCTGCTTTGACCCCTCAACAAGAGCGTCTCGCACCAAACGACAATAAAGTTTCTACTATACTTTATCGTTAGCGAAAGCCTTATTTGTTTGCGACCAGCAATCGTTTTTGTTAATAGCACACTATGATTTATTGCTAATGTTTTGTCGATCGAACGTTTGCTCTACGTTTTCAACTGTGTAGTCAGAATCAATATCCATCGAATTACTGGAACGTATTTAATTATTTTGAAAAATATTCAAAGGAAATTTACGAAACAACGTATATTTACCGACGAATGATTTACCTATAACAAAGATATGAATTTTTCATCTATATTCGGTAAACAAGGAAAATTTCCACAATAGACACTGTTTATATCCATTCACAAAGCTATGTGAATTAAGAATTTCAAAAGAATTATTTATATTTACTCTCAGCCTGATTGTCGATAATGAACAATATCATAAAAAGGACTATGTCTTCACGTTGACAACGTGGCGAAATTACTGATATCGTTGAAAAAATCGAAAACCAACGGAGCTTCCAAGATAAGAAAAAAGAAATATAATGTCGATTTTGACATCACCGTGTTCTGGGGCTCGTCGACTAAGCTGGTCATTGGTATTGAGTGTCGCGTGAGCGCGAAAAACACTTGTGATGAACAACATCGTAAACAATTGTGCTGACAGCAAAATCGCGTGATGCATTTTTCTTGCAAAATTGACTCTTGTACACAGAAAAATTAACCTATGCCATTGTCAACTTATCGAAATATATGTCGTTTGATAATTTTTTTTAAACGTAAATGACTTCGCGTCGATGAGCTCTGCTTTGTTTCTACATTCACTTAAACAATGACAAATAGTTAAGAATGTCTAAGATACCAAATTTTATTCTAATTTGTGATCGTAATATGACGTAACAACAAGTAAAACCAAAAAAAGTCCGGTTCTTGGTAACTTTTCGATCAAGATTATATTTAAATTTATCGATAATTAGTGATAAGTACAATTTTATTTATTCCATCATTGCTTCCCGGTACTTGCAAATCTTCCAATTGAGCTTTGACATTTTAATATCTCAGATTCGAAGCTTGATAACGATATTCATATCATGATAATAGTTTATAACTTAGTGCAAATCAATGCAATATTCAGCCATTAAGTATGTTGAATGAATATAATAATATTGCTTCTTTTTATTTTTGTAGTTTTTCAATGAGTTGATAACTTTTTTTTATTAAAAAAGTATTAAAAGTACATGATCCTACAGTAGTTACTTCATCATTACTTTTTTGCTTTTTTCCCAACATACATCTATAGAAAAGCTTTTACGTCTCGCGTCTGATTAATACTAATGATGCATTGCGGTAATTGGATAAAAGTTCGAGGGCAAAGTACATTTGCCAATAGATATGTCTTATAATTAACAGGCAGACAATATGACAAGCGCGATATTTCCAGTAAGATGGATATGATACTCGATGTATCGTCTAGACGTATATTTTTTATGAAGAGCCAAATCATATTAAATCAGTTATTACTCACGTTTTGTAATAAAGAAAATTAACATTTTGTAATAGAAATATTTAAGAAATAGGAGATGTGAAAATAAAAAAAAAATATACAGTTAGGAGAATAAATTTATAAGTTTGGTTGTACATTATTTGCGTAAAATATCGCAAGCTGGCTTCTCTATTTACTTCTTTGCAGTGCTAATAATTTTAATCAACTTCATTTTACAATTTAATTTTCACCAGATAACTCAATGACAATGCTGATACTTTAGTAAACATGCCTTGTTGATAAAACATTTACATGTAAATCAGTTTTTTAAATAAAACATTAGACGTGAAGCACTTGTACGAATGTCGAAAAAAATGCGACGACCTTATTCGTTTATCGAGGCATTTCATTTGAAAAAATTGTATAAATGACGATCTTCCGGGTAAACAAATCTCAATCGATATAAAAATAATTTGTTGAAAGACGCCGTCATCGCGTTATCTCTTAAATTCTGGTGGGCTTGATCTAGTTTTATCCAATTGCAACTTATCTGCTTGGATCCAAAGTTCATCGTGACTATATCCATAGATTAACAACGAAACAACTGGTTTGAATGGAAAGGTTATATCTCTTTGTGTCGTGATATTATCTTTTTTGGAACACATAGTTCTAATTTGTTATTATTTCTAATAACATGAAACTCTAATTTTCACTCTCCTTCCTTCTAGTGAACTATTGAACTAGACATTACTGATCTTCGGGATAGTTTAAAAAGCCTTCAGGGAACATTTATCTTACATCCATTACCCAACAGTATTTACGGTCTTTGTCATCTCAGTTTTAATCATCACAAAGTATAATCCCATTAAAATTACCTTCTAACTAGAAATCCATCTTAATCTACCTAATCAGACACACGATTGCCAAAACGTTCACTAAGATTTCATGTGGCCTAATTTTAGCAATGATCACTGTCTAGCGAAACAAAGCCGCGGTCTAATGAATCGTAGTCCGAGAAAGATAAATTAGCTCCACGGGATGTAACATCGCACTTGGGGGATACGAAGCCGTTTATCAGCAGCCGTTGTGGCGACTATCAGGCGTAGACGAATGCACTGCATACGACAACGACCAGCTGTCTGGGAGCGCGTGTCCACGCGACTTACGTTACTCGTGCATAGCTACGTGATCACGTAAACCTTTAACTACGACTTACGGTATTATGAAGTTGCTGCTATGGGAGTCTAATTTCGCGGAAAGTTTGTACTGCTTTTTGCCACATACATCGTTAAACTACGGCAAATATAGCTTGAGCGCAATCGACTGCACCTTGTACGTTGAGAAAAATTACATTATCGTGATTTTTTTTCGAAGCCCCTTCTATGCCATTTACACAATTACAGGGGGATAACAAAGAACTCGTTGTTCAAAGTCGACCGATTTGCTTTTATCAGCAGAGGTTGCCCTATTTTTAATCATTCGCGAAGGTTGTTTTCTTCATCGACTTTGTTTCGCCAAAGTATATTCTCAGTTAGATATACCTTTTAAGTGAGCACGATTAAGCTAAAAAAAATAATACATCGCGATGCGAGTGCGGGCAATGAGATTCTTGCCTCGTGTGGGGCATCTACGCCCGAGCGAAGTCGAAGCGAGGGTGGAAAGTCACACGAGAATCGGTTTCTCGAACATGTATCGTACGGTCTCGAGGAAAAAGTATGTATAGCACATAAAGATATCACCAAATATAAGAATTATGTTGAAAATGTTATCATTAATTATTGTTTCTTACTGGCTGTAAAAGCGATGCGTGCATGACGTACGCTATTCATTTCTTTCAGTGCGTAAGGATGATGGTGTAGTTTTATCTCACTCAATTCCACGGGGTTTTATCTAACAACATAAAGAGAGTTGGACTTTTCAAGCCCGTATGATGCGTATCCGAGCTTCTAGTTTTATCTAATAAGGAAACTGTTTCATCCTGATTATCACTTTTTTCTTTTATCTTCATGCAAGGGCAGCCGTAAAAAATCTGTATTCTACGCACTACCTCATGTCAGTGGTTTCTTTTCTTGATAAAACATGCCTTTTTCTGTTATTTCAGTCAACTGCGCGTCGCATTCAAACAAATGTGCCAACGTTGGCGCAACGTTCATTCAAAGTTTATTAAAAAATGTATTACTCAATTCACCACACGTGAAAACTAAAGAGTATTCACCACCCCGTATCCAAATAAATAATTAAAGGCTATAAATAAAAGGACTTTCCTCAAAGGCCGGTGATTCACAATCCGATTCATAAATCTATCGAGGGCCATTCGTTGCTCGGCTAAATCGGCGATTTTCGTGCCACACAAGAGTGTCTACCTAATCGCACCTATAGATTTGTTTTTGTCGGGAGCGTGTTATATGGAGGCACGGCACTCCAAACCGACCATCCGGCCGTTGCGATTGGTCGACATTAGATTTCGACGACACGCACGCGCGATTTGCTCGTCGAGCCCCCCCCCCCCCCCCCCCCCCCAACTTTTCGTTTGTTTGACGGGAGGCTCTCTTTTACTATTCGGCGATGTAATGCATTTTGTTTCGTTCCAAATATGCTATCTGCGTGCTCGATGAGTACACTAATTTTGAAGTTCAACAAGGTTGCGTCACGCATACTTATGAAACTGCTATCTTCGTTATCTGAAATTGTGTTCCAGCTGTGAATTGGCCGCACGTTGGAGTGCCTTCTTAAAATCGGTTTTAAAAATATCTCAGCAAAGTGTTTATTACTTTGGACAGATACTGAAATGTCATTTGAAATCTGCGCTAGGCAAAAGTCTAGCGTTCTGTTTAAGTGGCCCAGCAGCACCAAAAAAAATCATAGTACGGAATATTTTCAGTTGGACGATATCGTAAAGTTTGTATTTGCCTGGATATATCTACGATATTGTCTACTGGTAAGGGACACTGGTCCGAGAAGAGTGAAAATGAACGATACTCGACTAATCGGCAAGGAGGACGCATAAGCGAGCAGAAGCCGAAGCTCTCGCGACATAGGAAAATTTCGGGATGGTCCGCCCGAAAGATTATAAGCGCATATTGAGCGCTTGGCAACACTGTAGCGTGTGTGCGCGCGTACGTGAGGGCAATATAGCAAGCACCGCCCGAGAGAGCGTAAATAAGCCTCTCTTGCTCGATCGCACGGCTCTCGTGCAAGATATAGTCGTCGAAAAACAAGCGCGCGGAGCGCGCTATATAAAAGGCAGCGCGGAGCGCGCAGTTTCGATAGAGCCAGTTGACAGCGTAGCTCGCGAGCCCTTTTCCCGGCGAACGGCACGAGAGGCTGGAGGCCAGCGCTTCGTCGCGCTGACAAACGAGGACGTGCAGGACACGGTGCAGCCGTCGACCAGCAGCCAGACGCGGCCGCCTCGCTGACCGCGCGATCTCTGAGCCGCGGCGGGCCTACAACGCGACCTTTTCTCGCGCTCATCCCCACCATCGTCGTCCGCGACACCGGAAGTCGCGATAATCTGCTTTTCGCCATCCCTACCTATCGCCGCGAGCGCGCGCGGAGGCTTTTCTTCGGCTCGCGAGAGAGGGCACGGCGGATCCGATCCTCCCGGATTTTCCCCGCGAGCCAGTATAAAAGCCGCGACGCGGCCGGCTGCAGGCATAATGTCAACGATCCGATGGATAGAAACGGGATTGCAGAGGAACAACTGCTGGTCAAGCCTGCGAGGAGCGTACCCTTGGAACCAGGCGAAAAGGCCCTACTCAAGAGGCACATCCTTATCAAACGTCGCAAGAGCCGTTACACTTGAGCGCACCGCCGCCACTTGCGCCGCCAGGAGGGACTTTTCGACTTTCAAGTGGAGATCGGCCGCACCCGGGACCACCGCCGGCAAGATGCCCATTACCATGGAGACCTGCTACCCGCAGTAAGCTTTCCTTCTTGCGTTTACTCGCCAATGTCCACGTGCACGCCGCGCTTTCTAGCCAACTTCCAACAAACCCGTTTGCGGCCTCTTATATAAATAAACCGTTTCAACGCCTGCGCTTATTCCATTTTTACTTTTTCTAATTGCCGTTGAATTATTTTTCAAGTTGTGACCGTTGCTAGCCAAGTACAAAACAGCTCGTCAGAGTAGCCTGGAAACCGAACGATCACTCATTTGTATTTCAAAAATTCAAATTTTACTTGAAACTCATAGAGCGAGCCGCATCTACGGTCTATCGGCAACGGCAACGAAGCTGCGCCAACGTGTTTGTGCACTGCGCGCGCGGAAAAAAGAAACATTGCACTCGCGTCAAGTCAACATATCGAGGCTCTCTCGAACGTTGCCTCATCTATACTTTCCAACCTGGCCGTTTCTCGAAATTGCCAGTAACCCACATTATAATTGACCACCAATACGAATCCTCTAATTTCCCGTACAGCTACTAGCTTTCACCGTTGGCTCGCTCGCGAGAGACAAGTTTCTCGCTTACGCGCTCTTTTTTTGCCAACTTGCGCGCGAGACATTATACTTTTTTAAACGACGCGACAGAGAACTTGAAAGGGGGGACCGACCGGATGATGTAATGAATGATACTTCGGACACTGGTTGACGGCATAGTAGACGCGAGTGAAAAATTGCGTGTGACTTGCCTTATCTGCTTGATAGTTTGGACCGAGCCTTCGGTCAGCTGGTCATTTGATATTGTCAGTTTTTTTATGCGTCGAGTCGACTAGACGACTTTTTCCTCGGTTTGCTTGGCTGCAAGTGAAAACTTTGTTATGACTCGATGGCGTTTTTTTTTATCTTATTCGAATTTAGAAATGCATGTCATTCGAGCGTTAATCATCGTTATATGGAAATTACTAATGATAGACGTAATCACTTATATTGTCGAGAATACGTTATTTCAGAGATGTGATTCAATTGAAGGCTTCATTTCGTTACGCGCAGTAGTCGAATTAGGCTTGGATCAGAGCTAATTGAGCCAACACTCAAAATAAAAAAATAGCACCGGGCCGCTTCGAGATCGATCACGTTACGACACTTTGTTATTCTAATTTTAATTTGTCGCTTCTGCTGTTAAATGAAACGCGAAGTACATACGCCTATTCACATAAATATTACCTAATACTTAAAATCATTAGACAATCGTCTTTCACAAATCTCATTAAAATGGCATATAGGTGCTATTACGAATATCCATTATCATCCATTTAGTCCTCAAACATCACCTATAGTTAATTACTCACTCTTCCGCTTATTCGTTATTTTCAATATATTGCGTCATTTCTTTATTTGACCGCTAAATAGCAAAAAAAATCTTCACATGCGCCTACTTTACGTAATTGAACGTGCTAATAATGACGCAGTTAGCAAAATTATTGATCTTTCGAGTGACGATTCTCAACAGATTTGCTCTGACGCCGGTCAATGTCAAGTTTACGTACGATGCTCCGTCGCTGTTCGGGTAGTACTAACGTTCAATTAAGTACGCGTTCTGAAATCATCATTACTACACAGTAAACAAACTGTTAAAAATACTCCATCGTTAACGGTTATGTGTTTGGTGTCGTGTCAAAGTTAGACGACTCTCGATATATTTATACACATACATTCCCGGATATGTTTATTGAGAAAAATGAAAGATTCTCGATCGAGAATTACGTCATGTCTATCAGCACAATTACACAATTCGCCGAACAAATCAATTTTATCCCTTCCGACTAATGAATGTAAAGGGGTTAGCAAGCGAAGCCATATAGCTAGTGTGAATAGCAGCGGCAGTAGTAGCAAATTGATTGGAAGTCTTAGGAAGTCATTCGCGTGTTTCAGAGTCGCCAGACTGATGGTGACCCAAGTAGCGAAGACTCAATCGAGCACCAAGTACGATTCGTTCGATAGAATCGCCGACACACCAGTCTACAGCAGTCTTAGTACACCGCTAGCACCGAAGATCCGTGCTTTCGTCGAGGAGGCTGTTAGATTGTGCCGTCCCAATGACGTTTACGTATGCGATGGAAGCGAAGCTGAAAATACCCAACTTTTGAAGCTGTTAGAGAGCAAAGGGACTGTCCAACCGTTGCCCAAGTATGAGAACTGGTAAGTTTTCAAAACGCAATGCGCCTTAATCGTTCTATCTTAAAGATTTATCACTCCGTGTTAATAGTTGGCTCGCCAAAACGAATCCAGCTGATGTAGCTCGCGTCGAGAGCAAAACATTCATCAGCACCCCAAACAAGAAAGATACGATACCGACTCCTCGCGATGGAGTCAAGGGCACTCTTGGCAACTGGATTGCCCCGGACGATATGTACAATGCTATCTTGGAACGCTTTCCTAACTGCATGAAAGGTAATTGAAGAAATGCTGATAAGATTTATGGACTTAGGAGTAGATCAAATAACTGCAGATTATCAATGCGTTAATGAAACTGATAGCCTGTAACCTCGACGATAAACATTGCTTAGTTTTGATAGCGATTGCTCCAAGCGTCGATTGTTAACGAAAGAAAATAATTTCATCAATCAATTTTCAATATTTCAAAATATATCATTTTTCATTTCAGGTCGAACGATGTACGTGATTCCATTTAGTATGGGTCCTATAGGCTCACCTCTGTCAAAGATCGGAATCGAAATAACGGATTCGCCGTATGTCGTATGCTCGATGCGTATAATGACCCGCATGGGTGAAAAAGTATTGCAAACTCTAGACAAGCGTGACTTCGTCAAGTGTCTTCATTCTGTTGGTGTACCAAAAGCTGATTCAAGTGTTCAAATCGATGAGAGTTGGCCGTGCGATCCCGAACGTACCATCATTCTTCATAAACCTGCCAAGAATGAAATCGTATCGTACGGCAGTGGTTACGGTGGAAATTCGTTGCTTGGAAAGAAATGTTTCGCTCTGAGAATTGGATCTACCATCGCTAGAGACGAGGGGTGGCTTGCCGAACACATGCTGGTATGTAATTTACATTTAATTCATTCGAACATGCAAATGGAATGGTAAAGTAATTAATCTTTTTATTCTAACAGATTTTAGGAGTAACCAATCCCAAAGGAAAAAAACGTTATATCGTAGCTGCATTCCCAAGTGCTTGCGGTAAAACAAACTTGGCCATGTTGCAACCAACTCTACCAGGTTACAAAGTCGAGTGCGTTGGTGACGATATAGCTTGGATGCGTTTCGACGCGGAGGGTAAACTTCGTGCTATCAATCCTGAGAATGGATTCTTTGGTGTCGCCCCTGGTACCACCTCAGCTACCAATCCCAATGCCATGGCTGCTATCTTTAAGAATACTCTATTTACCAACGTTGCTAAGACCAGCGATGGTGGAGTATACTGGGAAGGCATGGAGAAGGAAATTGCAGATAACGTTCAGGTAAATTATTTGAGTTTATTTATTTTATCAAGATAAACGATTTTTTATTTTTATACAAATTAGTAAAAAATCAATTTTTAATTTTAGATCACAGATTGGCATGGAAAACCATGGCAGCGCGGCTCGAAAACACCAGCAGCCCATCCCAACTCTCGTTTCTGCACTCCAGCCGTGCAGTGTCCTATCATAGATCCAGCTTGGGAAGACCCCAAAGGTGTACCAATCGATGCTATTCTTTTTGGAGGACGTAGACCCATTGGCGTACCACTCATCTATCAAGCACGTAACTGGCAACATGGTGTTTTGATCGGCGCTACGATGAGGTCAGAGGCTACTGCTGCTGCTGAGCACAAGGTTGGTTTTCTTTTATTAAAATGCAGTTTTTCAAAATTGCAATCAAGCTGAGTATTCATTTTACTTACAGGGCAAGGTCATCATGAACGATCCATTCGCAATGCGGCCGTTCTTCGGTTACAACTTTGGACATTATCTTAACCATTGGCTTAATATGTCGAAAGTAGAGAATGCTCAGCTACCAGAAATTTTCCACGTTAACTGGTTCCGTAAGGGTCCGAACGGTTTCTTATGGCCAGGATTCGGTGAGAATTCTCGTGTTCTTGACTGGATTCTTCGTCGTATCGATGGTGAAGACGTTGCCGTAGAATCGCCAATTGGTTATCTACCTAAACCCGAATCACTTAATCTGGAAGGTTTAAAGGAGAACATCGACTTGAAGGAATTGTTTAGTCTGCCAAAGGAATTCTGGAAGACGGAAGTTAAGGAATTAAAAGAGTACTTGGACTCACAGGTTGGAGAAGATCTACCTAAGGCTATCAGCGAAGAGCTCAATACGTTAGAAAAGAACGTGGATAAACTATAAATTCGTTAAAATTTCTCTGTAATCCCTTTTTATTTAGGATCTTTGACATTACATTTTTAAGTTTCTTCCTTTTTTTTTCTTTTATCTAAAAAAATTTTTTTTAATTTTAATAGTTATTGTCAGTAATTTGCTGTTTCAGGATTCATATTTTGAGAAAGCGATTTGATATTGTGTGAAGACGATAAATTTTTTTTGAAAAATTGTTTTTGTTACGCGTTTTTACTTTTACTCAATTTATATATGTTTTTGAAAATTTTCATTGAACGAAAAATCCAACGACGATTGCTCTCTCACATTCGATTGAGATTAGCAACCATATACCACTCGAGATTATAACCAAAGTATTGTTCGAACGCTCGAAAAAATATAGCAGGTAAAAAAGACACAACGGAAATATTGTGTGAAAGCATGTATGTAAATAGTATTAGTCGAGCATTACATTCCACAATGTGACAATGAGAATTAATCCTTATGACTATATGCGAGGTAGTTGAAACAGATTATACATGTGCTAGTAACGTTCGACCAATTAATTTTTTTTGTCGTGGAAAATGCGGGGTGTGTGATAGAAAAAAAATAAAGATTATAATTTTTTATTTTAAAAAATAGTTCATACTTTCTTTTGATAGATCTGTATCCTTAATTTTGGATTCAACGAGCTGAAGAAAATTATACCCTATTAACGATGAATTCCCTCAAGTTTGTCAATCTTTCTAAAATTATGAACACAAAACCTGTTATCACTTATAATTACAATATTATTATTCATGTATCGTCATTTGAAATTGTGAGGAAAATGAGCTGAAGCGATATAAAGACAGTAGATGTTTTCCTCAATTAATAAAACTGGTGAATCAATATATTATCGCGCAACGTACATTAGTTCTGCGCTGAAATACTAAAGTAAAATTATGCCAGTATTAAATAATTTTCAAAACAATTCGTAAGTCTAGCTGGAAAAATCTGAGATTTAAAAAGTTCAAGCTATTTGAATTTTTGCAGAAGCCTAGCAGAAAAGGAAAGGTTAATATTTTTCTGCACGGGTGCAGATAATGGAGGCATTCTCGTGTGGCTGTTTCTACTCGAATGAACCTTTGTCTTAATGCCAATACAATGCATATTCATTGATTAAAGTAATTCCCAAATCATGCTTCTCGATTATCTATAAGACAATTCCTATAATCAAACATCAAACAACAATAAACGTAAGCAATATTTGGCTACAGGTGCTTGTATCGGGATTTCTTTAATTTGTTCATGAGAAAAGGTTTTCTAGGTAAAACCTATTTTCATTAACCAAGTATTAAACAATTCATTAATAAAATATTAGGACACGATTCTCTTTCATGATGAATTGAAATTCACTTAATTTTCATCGCTGTAAAGCATATAAATTTAATCTCGGTCAGTCGTGTGTTTTTTCTTTACGAACCCTAATCTAATTATTTAAATAGCACTTGGCCCAATGGAAATTCACTTGTTTCTTCCAAATTTTTCTAGAAATAAAGTGACTGTAACAGTAAATTGACCGAGTGCTTCCTTCGAGATCACCAATTATTAGTCATTCCTTTACGATAATGTTACTATTCCCAATGAGTGGAGAAGAAATTTTTACATGATGTATTTTTATGAATTACAAAAAGTCCAAAAAATTGACGATTACTTGAACCAAGCCGTCACAATGATTGATGCACTTTACAACTTAAAAACGCAAAATTTTCGAAAAAAATATCTTTTGGAGCGGAGAATCCTAAAATAATTTCTACATAACTATAATCTGAATAAATTTTCTACTCTCTGAAACTTCAAAAATTTTATTTTCATCTTTATCCAGCTTAATTGGTAAAATTAAAAAAAAAGTTTATTTTAATTACCTATGATTATCTATATATGTATAGTAATAGATAGAGAAAAGGTTAGTTGTTACTTTGTTCCATAGTCATTGTGCAAATTTTCTTCGCTTAATTTTACGTAAATGGCAACTTATTATTTTAAAAATCCCCGATTTACACCTATAAAATCTTGAATTGATTATACAACGTAATAAACACCTACCATATCTACTGCTGCAAATAACTAGTTGCATTTTGCATCCTCTATACTACAGAGTCCTATTATATCTGTTGTTGAACATCGAAAAATGAAATACTGTACTGAAAAATAATTGAACTTCATGTTATAAACAATTTTTTTTATTATAATGACATGTTTTAAATAGCATTACAGCCATAAATACGGAAAAAACAATTAAGAAGCTTGCAAGTCAATTTACGATTCGCGAAGTTCTAAATCACCATTAATCGACCGAAGGAAACGACAAAGTTGGGGTTTTTATTTAGTGATAGAAACACACAGCTCGCAAAATGAAAAAGAAAACGCCAAGTGTCACATTAGTGATGGTCAATGAACGAAAATTAATGTCCTTATTGAACTTGGCTCGCAAATTAAAACGAGCGAACCTAGTTACAGTAAAGCTCAGTAGATGTCAATACCTGCACATATTTCGTCGGTTCTTTACGTTTATTTAAACATGTGAATCGTAAGTATTTAACACGGTGGAGAATAATTTAATATAATCTTACGTAATGCTGTGCAATAATCTCACGTAATATCCTCTACTATACTCAACAACAAGCAATTCGGTTAAAATTACCAAACGCAAGCTTAGGTGGAAAATCTCTGCCACGTAATAATGGGAAAACCGAATCCCTTATAACTTTAGCTGACGCAGCTCAGGCGCGATGAATGTCAATGAGAGTCTCGTCGCTGGATTCGCCGACCTCTTTGAACAGAAATGCCCATCCGCAGGCGTCGCAGAGAGAGAAAGAGAGAGAGAGAGAGAGAGAGAGAGAGAGAGGAAGTCTCGTTAAAATTCAGCGCGTTGCGTTTCTAATCGAATCTCCTTCTCTCTCGCGCGTTACTTCTTCCTTCCTCGCGGTGAGATCGTCGCACGTATACTTACGATTCAGAGGATCGATCGCGCGTATCTGCTTGCACGGAGGTGACGCCCGGGCGAACCGTTATAATTTCTCCGCTAATGGAATCCGAGATTTCGTCGCGCGCCGATCGTGCGATGGGTGCTTGACGAGACTCCTCTCTCTCTCTCTCTCTCTCTCTCTCTCTCTCTCTCCCTCTCATTCGTGACGAGAAGAGCGAGGCGTCGCGTCGACGTCGCCCGGGAGGAGAAGCGCGCTTTTCACTCGGAGATTGGCCGTACGCATGCCGCGCCCGCTGTCGCAGCCTTTCCGGCATTGTTCGCCTTCCATTGCTTTCCTTCGACGAGTCGCTTCCAATGTCCAAGCTCGTTCCACAGTAATCTAACCAACAGCGCGAAAAATACCGCTGCCACGCACTGTAGTTGTAAATTACTGTGGATACGTGGTGCGAGCAATTCACTTAGACCATACATCGACAGACGCGATAGAAAAGTACACTGTTTCTAAATTCGCTGGTATTTATTTATTTATTATTTATGACGTAAAGTTGATAAGAATTGCGGAGAAAATGCAGGTATTTTTATTATTCTCCAAATTAATCATCCACACTACACGCCGTCTGTTTTATCTGTCAATCATATAGAATGAATCAGATATACGAGTACTTGATTCCTCGCGGTCGCAACCGAATACGAGCGATGAAAATCGCATGTAACGCAGGCTCTTCGGAGAATCGGGCGAGCAGCTCGGTCAGCCAAATTCATCGCGCTTCTCGGTAAAGAAAAAGACATTCCGCGAGCACCAATCACCCAATTGAATACCAATCGCGCATAAGATGCCCCGGAGGAGCGAATAAAGAAAAGAAATGACGATTTCGCAGAGATGCCGATTGGGAATGCATCGAGCATACGAGCGACGCTTCGCCGCCCAAATACGGCCGACGAGGCAAGAGGAGGGCCCATAACGCTCTCGGATGATATGATACTCTTTCGCCGCTCGGTGCCAGCAACCGCCGTCGCCGCGCATCTCGCATAAATAAAACGTGCGCGCGCGTAACGCGGACAGGATGCCGGCCCGTCCGTAAATGGCCCGAGCGAAGAAATCTTATTGCGCCTGGTGCTGCCCGTACGTGTCCGCCGGTGATGAGGCGCCCCGTTCGATGATTATTGCTGATAAAACGTACGGGTCCTTCGTAAGCGAGGTCGCGCGCTTTATATATTTTTACCGATGAAACGCGACGTCGAAGGCTCTACCGAAGTTGTCGCGATGAGCGATGGCTGGATGTCAAGCATCGTATAAATATTTATCTGCGTTGCCGAATCGTCGCTAGGTGCCTTCGAACTGATAACTTTAGGAATCGGCTTATTATAATGCAGAGTTATTTTAAACAAACTGTTTGAATTTGTATGTTCATCGTATGAAATGAGCTTTTATAACGAGACGAATAGATGAAATATTCTGGAAAATAAATAAATGAACTAATCGATGTCCTCTCTATTATCATCAAGTACGCCGAAAGATAAAAATTTGAAGAATGACTTTGAGCCGCTGGTGATAAAGTCGTAATCTCAGAAAAGCAGCTACTGCCAAAGGTGTTACTGTGTATAGGAAGAAAAAGGAGAAGACGACTTCTTCCCAAGAACAGAAAGATGTTACGTGCTTGCGGCGCCTTGGGCGTGATCCGAATGCGTCGCCACTCGGAGAAAAAGAGGATGGAACGGAGCGGCTCTGGTCGAGGAAATGTCTCATTGAATTTTCCATTCGATCGGCTTTACTCAACTCTACCGACAGCGAGAATTTTTCACCTTCGTCTCGCTGACTCGCCAATAAGCTTAATATCCGAAAGACCAGCTGTAAAGATTTGCTTGATTCGCTGTGTCAATTTAGAAAAGCGAAACAACTTTCAGAGACCGCCTGTTATAATCGTGCCACCAAATGGAAGTGGCTGCGCTCTCGCGTGTGCGATTCCTCGTCGTCTCTTCCACCCACTATACACAAAGAAAAGCCATCGACGACCCAACGAGGGCGAGGTGCGTTTACGTGGATCCACTTTCGTACATCGTTACATCGCAGTGGCCTTGAGTTATAGCGCTACGACACAACGCTTCGCGGGTGTCGCGCTGGAACATCGGGAAAACAGTGCTCTGAGGATCGAATTAACGCGTCCCGATATCGAATGTCCGGTGCGGTGTTGCAAGAAAGCAAGCGCTCGTGAACGCGCGTGTGCTTGAATTCGTATATGCCCCCTTGACCCATTTGCATTGCCTAAAACCGACACACGCCAAGATAAACTAGAAGGTAATATCGTGAAATGGTCTTGAATAATAAAGCCGCGC